AATGATCATGTAATTGTGTTTTAATAAAACTATAGTGTATATAAAATAAAATTAAATAACATTTTCACATATTTGAGTCTATAAAATATCGAATGAAACTATAGTTATATCGAAATGAAATTGTAGTTGTGTTCAACTGAAACTGCAGTGTATACAAAATGACACTGAATAACAGAGTTACTTTTTGTAAAAGGGTGCGAAACGGCAGAAATAAACACTGTTAATTTTCATTTAAAAAAAAAGACACGCGGTGCATAATCGATTATGCACCGCGGTGCATAATATAATTTGCCAACAAAAAGATTCCAAAACAAAAAGATTGATTCGATTGACATCTCTAATTGTAACATTATTAGGTTGGCATAAATACACTTTATTATTAGGTTGGCATAAATGCACAAAGTGTCTGGTGCAATTTTTTTTTGTGCATTTTCAAACACTGTGTGGTGCATTTAAACTGCACCAACCTCACGAGAAGCCCTGTTCTCATTTTCAATATATTATAAATTTGACAAGTAAAAAATAGAACTTATATTTAACGGATGTTAATTCAAAATAATATTCACAACCACTGGACTACACATCGAATCCCTTGGTTGGATGTATCAAGCGTTACACTTCAAAATAATATTCACAACCACTGGACTACACATCGGATCCTTTGGCTGGATGTATCAAGCGTTACACATAAAAATCATAAGACCGATCATATTCCCTTTTTTAGTTGAAGGGAATAAGTGAATGTAAAATTTCAAACTTTGTTTTTAGTTTTTTTTTTCCCTTTTAAGGGAATCACATTCTTAGATTATATGAAATTTTTGAAAATTATTATATTATTTTATGAAATTTAGTACGCAACGGAAGAAACCTTTCGAGCAGGCTTCTAGCTCCAATCCGTATTCGAGTTACGGTTACTCCAAAAGTAAAACAATATAACGAAAGAAAATGAAGAACTACTTAATATAATTGATTTCTGCATGTCTTTAACATTACATAGAATACCCTATATATACTATCTCAATTCCTAAAATAATGTAATTATAATAATGTAATTATAATTATTTTCCTAATTACATATATAAGGTAATATACATTATTCTTGCTACAAGATGAATGCCGTCCATCAATGGCGTATCACTCTTCCCTCACTCTTCCCCTTCGAAAATCACCTGTCCTTGTCCTCTATATAAGTGGTTCATCTCTTGAATTCTACCCAATACAAATATTCAACCCAAATTTTTGGTTGAAAAATGTTAGGAAGATTGTGTGAACAAGAAAAAGTTGTACAGTATAATGTGGCTAGTTCTTCAAAGAATGCGACTTGTTTTTCAAAGAATGGTTTTGTTGCTTGATCTTCATTGAAGGGCCAGAGCTTGACTTGATCTTCAATCCACCTAGCTTGACTTGATTTTCAATCCTTTGGCTTCAGAGCTTCTCTTCAATTCTTTAAGTGTTCTTCGTCTTCAATTGTGTCTTTTAGAATGTGAAATGATGGCTCTATTTATAGGAGAAAGTCTAACCAAATCCCTCAACAAACTCCCTAATTATTTATTAAATTAAATTAATTAATTATCTAATAAAATGAACCTTGTGAAAATCAAGTCTAGGTTCACTATTTTATCATCTAATTCAAATTCAAATTAAATTATAATTATCTAATTCAAATATAATAAAATTATATTATATTTAAATATAATTATAATTCAAATTTGAATATGTAGTGGGCTTGGACCAATTAATTCAATAGCCCAAACCAAATTTAATTGGACTAATTAAATCAATTTAATCTCTATGATCCAATTAATTAAATTAGCCCAATAACAATTTCAACATTGGCCCAATAACAATTTTATCAGTCCACTTATCGGGATCAAATTTTCTTGTGTCTACAAATTGATCCCTCGAGACTTGCCCGGACATTATTTGATGTACTTAGCGAGAAAGTCTCAAAATTTAAAAATGGTCCATTATAATGCCTCTAAACTCCATGAGCCCAAATGCATGCCTGGATATTTCACGATCCAAAAGCAAATAAGCCAATTGGTGTAGGTGCGTTCTGTGAGCGCAGCTATAAACTTGGTGAGCCCAAGCCTGATCTTCTAAGTCTTCTCAAATAATCACTAGACAAAAATAATGTACATTATATTGTATTCAAGGAATATACATTATTTTTGTTCTGAATGTACATTATATTGTATAATGTACATTCAGTACAAAAATAATGTACATTTAATATATTAAAATGTACTTTTTAATATGGTCCAAACAACTTGTGCGAACCATAATCCACACAATAATTTGCCCAAAAACCCGACATACCAAGATTTTAGATTTTGGGCTATGAAATTTAAACCAAATCGATAAGCCTAACAGCCCAAAACAAAAAGATTGATCCGATAGACATCCCTAATTGTAACATTATTAGATTGGCATAAATGCACAAAGTGTTTGGTGTAATGCATTTTCAAACACTGTGTACTGCATATTCATTTTGGTACATCTTCAAACATTATGTGGTGCACCTCACGAGAAGCCCTGTTCTCATTTTCAATATATTATAAATTTGACAAGTAAAAATAAAACTTATATTTAACGTAACGGATGTTAATTCAAAACCACAACCACTGGACTACACATCGGATCCCTTGGCTGGATGTATCAAGCGTTACACATAAAAATCATAAGACCGATCAGGTCAAGATAAAAATATATTTTGAAGATGATGCATAAGTCTGAGAAGAATATATAGCCATAAGACTGATTATTTTTCATTACGAATCGAGTATTAATGAATGAATAACATTCGATTACATGCACCTTGTATAGGGGTGTAAACGAGCCGAGCCGAGCCCGAGCCTGGGTAGGCTCATGCTCGTGCTCGTTAATGATAGCACTGCTCGAGCTCGAGCTCGAGCTCGTTCGAGCTCGTGAACTGATGCTCGAGCTCGAGCTCGGCATTTGTCGAGCTGCTCGAGCTCGAGCTCGAATTCGAGCCTGAACTTGAGCTCGAGTTCAGGCTCGAATTCAAGCTCGAGTTTAGGCTCAAATTTGAGCTCAATTTTGATCTCGAATTTGACCTGTTTGATTTAAAATTTAAACTACTTTGTTTTATGAATTTTATCTATACATAATTATTAAAGTATCTTAATTTTCCCCCCCTAATTATTATTTTTATATACTAAATATAATATAATTATATTATATATTATATATCATATAATATATTATAATGCTCGCGAGCGGCTCGTCGAGCCGCGAGCCTACAATACCTAAGCTCGGCTCGTGCTCGTTTAATCCACGAGCTGCTCGAGCTCGAGCCGAGCTCAATTTTGACCGAGTTCGAGCCGAGCGTTGACCGAACCGCTCACGAGTGACTCGCGAACGGCTCGGCTAATTTACACCCCTAACCTTGTACAATCAGTACAATATATATATAGGTAATTCATAATTTAAAAAAATAAAAATAAAAAGAATTTATTCGACTAAATAACTACATTATTATTCAATTCACCTCAGACCGGATGCCTATCATCATCATCATCATCATCTATCTTCTTCCCTTATAAGTCAAATCATCAGCTAAACCTGGAATGTCTTTCAATTTATCCTCCGTATCCTTGCGAACGCACTCAGTGTCGCACTGCATCTCGCAGTCGGTGTATTTCCTGCCTCCCGCTTTCATGTCTATGCCTTCTTTCGTGCCTTTTTCCGTGCAGCTCTCCTTCTTCGTGCACGCCGCGAAACAATCCTTGTACAGCTGGGTTTCTTCGCCGGCTTCCGCCGGACTGCCAGCTTCCGCCTCGCTGCCGGCTTCCGCCGGGCTGCCGGCTTCCGCCGGGCTGCCAGCTTCCGCCGGGCTGCCAGCTGGCGCCTCGCTGCCGGCTTCCGCCTTGGGAACGCCGTCGTTCACGACGGACAGGACCACCATGCATACCACAAACACTGCAACCAATTTTGTCATTTTTTCGATCTGATCTGATCTGTGCTTTAATTAATATGATCGATTTATTTATTTCTTTTTAATTTCTTCTCTGTTTATGAGATAATTAATAAAATCAACCCTCTATTTATAGCAGTATTTAGGAATGCGAGACTCACTCTTCATCTTAAATTAATAAATAAATATTTGAGATAATTACGCACCACTCATTTTTTAATTTATATAATTACAACTCAGATGAAGAAGGAGAACCTCAAAATAATTAATCGGAGTTGTTTTGCTTATATCTCTAAGTTTTCTCTCCATCTATTGTCTTAAACAACTTATGTATAAATTCATTTTTTTTGTCTTTATAAATTTTCAAAAAGGGACGGAATGAGAGGAATTTCTGTTATCGAAATAGCGCGCATAAAAAGTGTTTCATTTGAATAAATTCATCTTCTGTATATTTACAAACTCATGTTATTAACACTCTCAATCAACCCAAATGAAGGGAAAGAATAGGTGCTGCATCTAGATCGAGCAAATTTTAAAAATACCTTAATGGAAACAAAGCTAATTATAGACTTAAAAATGTTGGAGATTTATATACAGTAAATATAATGTATGTTATAAATGGATTCCAAACATGTTATCAAAATTAAATAATATTTTCAGAGATGTGAAGTTAAAATATTATTTTAAGTATAGTATTCATGAAACTTCATCAAATAATAATAATAAAAAAAACACTTCACAAATGCAATGTATCGATTTCAAAATGATTTACTAATCGAGTTTTAATATTGGACACAAGTTTTCGCGGAAATCACGTAAAAAAGAGTACAAGAGGAGAGTTAATTACACAGTAAAGTATAACTTATAACTACTCCAGAGCCTACTCCAGTGGATCCGATGTGCAGGCGATATTCATTGCTTCATAATCTAATTACGGGCCTTTCTTAACACTCAACAGTACAGTATATATTTGGTATAGATAAACCAAGAATTTCAGAGTAAAACCATGTGAAAGAGTGTATGAAAAATGCTAACCAAAGTAGCATTTTATAGAGGTACAAAGATGAAGGGTTTGGTAGATGAGCTGTTAAAGATCATGGCAAAATCATTAAATATAGAAGAAGATGGTTTCATGAATCTGATTGGGGATGAACCCACCTTGGAAGCAAGGTTCAATTTCTACCCAAAGTGCCCAAAACCAGATTGGATTTTAGGGGTTAAAGCTCATGCAGATTCATCGGCACTCACCATTCTCCTGCAAGACAAAGAAGTTGAAGGACTTCAAGTTCTCAGGGATGGCAACTGGTACAGTGTCCCCGTATTGCCTCATGCCTTAGTGGTCAACATCGGAGATCAAATGCAGGTATATATGCTTTAGTTTATGATATATCATGGAATTTCCGACTACTTGAAAGTGATCATCAAGTCGAAAGTAAAAAGTGGTCGGAAATAGCAACAAAAGTTTTTCCGAATACCAAAAGTGGTCGGAACAAGACTATATACAAAATAAAATTAAAATTAACAAAAAAAAAAGAATAAAAAAGAATAAGACAAAGGGGAGCCACATGCTCCCTTTGTAAATGATATGAGATTATTTTGATTCCACATTGAAAATGTTTGAAAAGATGTGCTCTTGAGCTCCTCTATATAAGAGGTACAAACATAATTGTTTGTCCATCAATGTTGCAAGTATTGAGAAGTCAAAATGTTCTTATTTAAGAAACCTTAGCTTTGTCTTCTTATTTTAGTTTTTATTCATTATTTATTATTTATTATTTATATTTATTATTTATTTATTATTAGTGGGTGTTGGGAAAGATTAACCCAAAATGTATGTGTTGTTTTAGTTTTAGCAAATATATTGAGTTATTAAATAACATTTTTGGTGTTTTGCTTAAAGATAAATTGTTAACATGGCGAATTTGTTAAAATTTTGGTAAATTTGTCAATCTCATTTTTTTTTTTAAATCGTCAATAATCAAATAATAATAATAATAATAATAATAATAATAATAATAATAATAATAATCATCATCATCATCATCATCATCATCATCCAAACAAAACGATATACAAACTAAAATTAAAATTAGAAAAAAATAAGAAGAATGATGTGAGATCATTTTAATCTCACATTGAAAATGTTTGGAAAGAGGAGCTTTTGAAAATGTTTACAAACATAATTGCTTGCCCATCACTGTGGACAAGTAGTGAGAAGTTCAAAGTTTTGTTTTTTTTTTTTTTAGAAGTAAAGGAAAATTAAAAATGAAAAGAAAATATTTCAGTAATAATACTTTACATCATCAAGTAGTAAAGACATATTTTAAAAAATAGTAAATGTAAATTAAAAATCATCAAATTAAAATGTAACGAAAATTAGGTAAAAATATCACTACATCTATATTCTAATTGACTGAAAATAAAAAAAAATAATTGACCGAAAATGAATCTAATATTACTAATTGACTGAAAATATAAAATGAAATGAATATTAATAATTGACTGCAAATAAAAAATAATCCATAATTGACTAAAAAAAAAAATAAATGGTCAGATCATTGCATTTTAATTAAAAATGGAATGAAAATTAAAAATTTGAGGAAAAAATATTTCAATAATAATATTCTACATTATCAATAGTAAATGCATATTTTTAACAATAGTAAAGGTAAATTAAAAATGGAACCGAAATATTTCAATAATAATATCTACATCATCAATTAAAAATGGAATGAAAATTAGGTAAAAATATCACTGCATTTGATATTTTAATTGACTAATTGACTGAAAATAAAAAAGAATAATTTGCTGAAAATGAATCTGATATCCCTAATTGACTGAAAATATAAAAGGATAACTAATTGAGTAATTCAACCATTATATATTTTAACCCGAGTAACCCGTCCGGATGGATTGAAGGTGTTAGCTCTAGACGAAGATGAACAAGATTGCGTTGTCACTACCAATGTCGTTTACAAAGAGGTTTCAATAATGTGTAAATATAATCGGTGATATTAAGTTTTTTTTTTAAAATGAAAAAATTGTTATATATCTTGACAAAAAAATATATATCTTCCATACAAATGAATAAGGATACCAATTTATTTCTATAACTGAGTTGTTAGAGAACGAGCACATTTGCCTAATTTATGAAAATACTAAATAATGATAAATAAAATCTTCAAAGTTATAGCACCGTATGTGTACATCTAGACATTAGCTATTAATTTGAGCAATTATTTGCACAAATTCAAGCAATAATAACATCAAAATATATAAACGATGCAAATATATAATATTTAATTGCACTATATAATATTTGATGTTCTAATTTAAATAATTATATATCGATTCATATATTCTTACTATATTACAACAAATTCATTCCGTGCATCGCACGGGTGCAAATACTAGTTAATTAAAACTAACAATAATCAGTAAAGAAAAGATCCTTAATTCACTAAAAATGAAAATATAAACGGAATTTACTGATTATGACTAATAATAATTGGTAAAAAAAATAAAAAAATGAGTCTTAATTCAATGAAAATGGAAAAAAGAAACGTAAGGGTGTGAAAAAAAAAAAGTCATAATAAGGATAACAGTAAAAAAAAGAAAATTCTACCAAAAATTAGAATAATTAAAAAAGTTTCTTAATTCACGAGAAATAAAAAAGGAAATGAAATTCACTGATTAATTAATTGTAATAATAATCAGTCAGAAAATATGCAGTAAAATATGAAGAAAAAAAAAGATCCTTACTTCACTAAAAATGGAAAAATAAACGAAATTTACTGATTAATACTAATAATAATCAGTAAAATTGAAAATAAAAAAGGATTCTTAATTCAATGAAAATGAAAGATTTTTTTTTTAAAAAAAAGGGGTCATAATAAAAATAACAGTAAAAACAATCCTACAAAAAAATTGAAAAAAAAAAAAGATTCATAATTTACGAAAAATAAAAAATGAAATGAAATTCACTGAATAATTAATACTAATAATAATCAGTAAAATTAAAAGTTAACATTAAAATAGAAAAATATAAAAGGATCCTTAATTCACCAAAAATAGAAAAAGAAACGAAAGTCACTGATTAATACTATAATAATAAGTTAAATAGGTAAATATAAAAAGATTCTCAATCTATACCATTATTAAAAAGAAAATCCTTCTTCCTTACTTTCACACCCAAACAATAGAAAAAGAAAAAAATCTATAATATAATTAAAAACAAAATTCTATTTACTTGATTTATCGCCCAAGCAATAGTAAATAGTAAAGGTAAATTAAAAAAAAATGATGAAAAAAAAAGAACAAAAATATTTCCCAATAATATTCTATATTATCAATTAAAAATGGAATGAAAATTAGGTAAATAAATAAGTATCTGTTCAAACATATTTTTCTCAACCAACACCTTCACTAAGGCTTGATCTCATGACTTCCCACATAAGAGAAGTCACAACATACCATCTAAGCATAAGATGCTTGGCAATAAACATTAGATTAATTGAAAAAGGAAATGAATATTAACAATTGTTTGAAAATAAGAAAAGATTCATAATTGACTAAAATAGAAAAAAAAAATGGTTAGATCATTACATTTTAATTTTTCACAATAATATTACACAGTATAATACATCATATCACAAGTATGTCATAAATTTTACACAATTTTAAACAATAGAATGGAAATATTTCAATAATAATATTCTACACTATCAAGTAAAGGTAAATTAAAAATAAAAAGGAAATACTTCAATAATAATATTCTACATCATCAATACTAAAGACATATTTTAAACAATAGTAAAGGTAAATTAAAAATGTAGCGAAAATTAAAAATGAAATGGAAATATTTAAATAATAATATTCTAAATCATCAATTAAAAATGAAACGAAAATTTGATAAAAATATCATTGCATTTGATATTTTAGTTCGCTAATTGATTAATTGACTAAAAATAAAAGAGAAGTAATTGGATGAAAATAAATATGATATTACTAATGGATTGAAAATTTAAAAGGAAATGAATATTAATAATTGACTGCAAATAAAAAATTATTCATAATTGACTAATATGAAAAAAATAAATGGTTAGACCATTGCATTTTAATTAAAATGGAAGGGAAACTAAAATTGAACGCCAATATTTCAATAATAATATTATACATCATAAATAGTAAATGCATATTTTAAACAATAGTAAAGGTAAATTACAAATGGAACAGAAATATTTCAATAATAATATTATACATCCCCAATTAAAAATGGAACACAAATTAGGTAAAAATATCACTCCATGTAATATTCTAATTGACTAAAAATATAAAAGAATAATTGACTGAAAATGAATATGATATTACTAATTTATTTAAAATATAAAAGGATCGCTAATTGACTAATATTATACCATTATATATTTTCACTGAGTCACCCATCCTGATCAATTGAAGGTGTTAGCTCTAGACGATGATGGACAAGATTGTGTTGCTACTACCAATGTCGTCTACAAAGAGGTTTCAACAATGTGTAAATAAAATCGTTGATATTATATTTTTTAAATGACAAAATTGCTATATGTATAGACAAAAAAAATATCCTCCATACAAATGAATTAAGATAACAATTCATTCATATAACTGAGTTGCTAGAAAACGAACACATTTGTATAATTTATAAAAAAAAAATACTAAACAATGATAAAAAAAAAATCTCCAAAGTTATAACACTACATGCATACATCTACACATTAGCTATTAATTTGAGCAATTATTTGCTTAAATTCATACAATGATAATATAAAAACACATAAATGATCCAACCCGTATATTCAATTGAACTATATAATATTTGATGTTCTAATTTAAATAATTATATATCGATCCAAATATTCTTAATATATTACAACAAATCTATTCTGTGCATCGCACGGGCGCAAAAACTAGTAATAATAATAAAAAAACACTTCACAAATGCAATGTATCGATTTCAAAATGATTTACTAATCGAGTTTTAATATTGGACACAAGTTTTCGCGGAAATCACGTAAAAAAGAGTACAAGAGGAGAGTTAATTACACAGTAAAGTATAACTTATAACTACTCCAGAGCCTACTCCAGTGGATCCGATGTGCAGGCGATATTCATTGCTTCATAATCTGATTACGGGCCTTTCTTCACACTCAACAGTACAGTATATATTTGGTATAGATAAACCAAGAATTTCAGAGTAAAACCATGTGAAAGAGTGTATGAAAAATGCTAACCAAAGTAGCATTTTATAGAGGTACAAAAGGGTCCTTTGATCCACAAATCAAGCACTCTTTCCATCCTTGATTTTGGCTGCTTCAATAGATT